AAAAAAAATTAATTGAAATTTATGGTTTTGATGTTCGGGCGAGTTTCTGTCCATGTCCATCTGATATGTGAGGCATTTCATACATAATATGCAGAAGAAAGCTCTTTCAAATGGTGTCCATTAGTGTGAGAAATTTGATTTTATTAAACTGGATCACGTGTTAGGAACTACCAGAGTCATACTCAAACCTTAAACCCAATGCCTGTTCAACTGCTCTTTAAACTTTAAACTGGGCATCAGAATGAAGAAGTGAGGCGACTTAAGTGACTTTAAATGTAGAATTGCTACTGGTGCTGCTATTTCAGAGTATATCAGAAACTACTGACCTACTGGGATTTTCACACACTGCCATCTTTAGGGTTTAGAGACTATTGGTCGGAAAAAGAGAAAATACCCAGTGAGTGGCAGTTCTCTCGGACAGTTAAAACAATTCAACTTAATAAACATGAATGGAAAGTTTATAGGAAGAACATCTTGTTACAACCAACATATGCAGAAGAGCATCTTGAAACAGATGTACTACAATAGCAGAAGACCACACCGGTGCCACTCCTGACAGCTAAGGTCAGAAAACCGAGGCTACAATTCAAACAGGACATGACAAGACTGGAAAAATGTGCTACCTCATCTGATCTCTCATCATAAAAACATGCCTCAACCGTGCCTTGTACCAGTGCTTCAACCTTTTGGTGGTGCTGTATTGGTGTGGGGATCCCTTAATATCAATTGAGCATCATTTAAACTCCACAACCCACCTCAGTGTTGTTGCTGACCATGTCTAGTCCTTTAGGACCACAGTCTACCATCTTCTTGAACATGACGATAAGCTTCTAAATAGCCTCCAAAATTTGAGAAATGTTTCCAGCATCTTGTTGAATCTATGCCACAAAGAATTAGGGAGGTTCTGAAGGCAAAAGGTTCACCTGGGTGCCAGCAATGTGTAACTAATGAAGTGGCCAGTTGCTGTTCTAAAGCTTCCAATTAGGGCAATGAGGAAAAGACAGTTTTCATACAGAACAAAATATTACCAGTATTAGTTTTAAAACCTGACTATTTTGCTTTGTTATTTACACAAATAGGACCTTTGAAATGGAAACTGCTACCAAAGATAGATGAAGAATGTACAAACAAGTTCCAATAAGTAAAAAAGTATTTCAAACATTTTCGTCTTACACAAAACCTTTGAGTTCTGCTTTAATAAATCTGACATTTGAGTGAATCAATCCAGTACTAGCAAGGTGTAAGTAAAGAAGTAGCTGGTGAGTGTATATTTGACTAATTACCAGAGCTCTACTCAAAAACATCCTTAGATTTCACTTACATTTGTTTATTACTTTCTTTATGTTTGTTTGCTGTGGACTCAGCAGTAATTGCTCCATTTATAGCCATGTGTTATTTCACTGATGAGAGCTCTAATATAAAAGAACAAACAGAAAAGCCATCCACAAATCATAAAATGTCATGACACATGGTGAACTTGGTGCATCCTTTTAATCAGGCCTTTGCTCTAGTCACATTTACATTAAAACAAAATATTTACACACATTAACTTCCTCATGCTACATTTCCAAGTGCTGAGTGAAGCTTTTTAAAGTACAAACACAAAAGACACAGCCGCTTATGTAGACTGTACAAAATTAGATGAATAGGTTATATAATCAAGCCAATGAAAATGTCTGCATCCTGAGTTCAACAGTCATAAAAAATAAAAAAAAATTAGAAAAAAAGTGCACATAAACTTAAATATGCCAGCCATCTCTGAAGAACCAGTCACTGGGCTCGGTTATGATTTAGCACTGTCAGACAAAGACAGCATATGCTGCATTAAAGCGAAGTCTCGAGCCTCCTGAGGTGTGCGAATGTATGAGTCAATTTCACTGTCAGAGATTTCCTCATCACCAGTCACATCCGTGTGTTCAGGCTGCACAGCTCTCCTTTTCTTAGCATGAATGACACATGGGGGAGCAAACAGAACTCTTTTACCCCAGTTTGGAGGTGGATTTTGACTCTCCTGAGTGTCGCTGTGCTTTGGCAGTACACGTGGATTATAGTCTACATCTCCTGGCTTCTCTTTCCCGTCAGAATTCAACCCATTTTGTTTCACAAAAGACATAATTGGAGCCTGATCTGCACACTCAGAGATTTGGGAGGAAGCAGTCCCCTCAGGCGGAGCCTCAGCACAGCTGGCTTGACTCTCCTCCAGCAGAGCATCCTCGTGGGTTCTCATAGCTCTTCTTAGCAGGGCGTACCTGTTCTGCAGAATGCATTCAACCAGCTGAATAACATTATCCGGTGTCACTGTTTCCCTAACCCAGGGTATTTCCTTGCCTAGCTTACACAACACCTCCTTGATTTCAGCTACTCTCTTCATAGCAGACTTGAGCTTTTTCACTTTGGCAACCTGACAGAACTTGTCCAGGGAGAATTTCAGGCGATGCTTGTTGGGTTTTAAGGATTGCCAGGCCAAATACGTCACTGCCATCATTATGGGGATGGGCTTACGGCCAGTCACAATCCAGGAATCTGCTGCCAGCTCTACCAGGGCCACAGCTCGTTTGGTCAAGTCCCTCGAATTCTCAGCCATTTCTTCAGGAACATCGAGTGAGCTAATTTTGTATCTGTCAAAGAGAAATGCTCTCAGTAAATCTGAGATAAAGACTGAGTTGGTAAATCATCTAGAGCACTGACAGTTTTATATTTTAACAATCAGCTTTTCAGATAAACACAGTTAATCTCAAGTGACTCAAATGAAATCGGTTTTAAAATTTAATCAAGGTTTAACGCTGAAACAAGAAACTCCTTTAAAACCAGGGCAGGCCAAGAGGGAAATGAATGTTAAACACAGGGAAAAACAAAATCAGTTTTTTCAGTTAACTAAAGTAATAAAAAACTTGTATGCCAAAAATGTTTTTAAAATAAAAGCAAATAACTACATATTCTATAACTAAGGATAACTTACCACTAAATTATTGGTATGACTGAGCAAAATCGACTCAACATGCTGTATTTGGAACAGAAATGCTGAGTATGACCCAAAGAACACCATCCCCACAGTCAAGCACGGAGGTGGAAACATTAAGCTTTGGGTCAGTTTTTCCTGCTAAGGGTTACAGGACAACACATCGAGGGGCCAATGGACAGGGCCATGCACCACAAAATCTCAGAATCTCCTTCCCTTGGCCAAAACTTTAAAGATGGATGGGTCATTGCCATGGATGACAATGACCCAAAACATATTGCCAAGGCAACAAAGAAGTGGCTAAAAGGAAAAGCACACTAAAGTCACGGAGTGGCCTTGCCAGTCTCCAGACCTCAGTCCTACAGATAAATCTGTGGAGGGAGCTGAGGCTCGAGTTCACAGGCAGCAGCCAAGAAACCTAAAAGTTTCTGTAAAGAGGAGTGAACTAAAATACTAACTACAAGAAATGTCTTCCTGCTGTTCTTGTCAACAAAGCTATGAAGTCCTGTTTTGCTCTGGGATCAAATGCTTATTTCACTCAATGACATGCAAATCATTTTCTACCTTTTATGTAGTGTGTTTTTCAGGATTTTTTATTCATATTCTGTCTCCTTTAAAAAATAAAGATGGTTAATTTCCTTGGAAGTGAGCAAACTAACAAATTCATCAGGGAATCAAATAATTAGATCACCACTGTAGGTCTCAGTTAGAAGACCTACAACTGTTGCTCTTCTACAACTGCAATAAATGAGTTGTTTTGAAATACCTACTTAGCATTTTAGGACTGAAAGCTGCAGTAAGTTCTTCACTTACTCGTGACAGTGAGCTTCTATTACATCAGTGACGTTGATGATCGGGGCCTCGATGCTGAGGTTCTTGACCATTTCTTGATAAATCGCCCCCACCGCCATCGAGTCGGCATCCAGCAGGCAGCTGATGGTTCCCACAGTAATGGGCCAATTGAGCTGCCTGCAGCTTAGAAGCACACAACAACCAGTAAGAATCTCTTTCTTTTGAAGGCTCACTTTGAGGAAAGCTTTATGCTCATAGGCCATCTTGTAATACGTCTGTGAGAGATCCTCAATCTCCCTGTTGACCATGAGAATCCGACATATGGCTTTCACTCGCTGCTGACCTGTATGTGTAAAACAAATCCATTTGAGGAAATGCACAAGCAACAGGACTGAATTACACTGAAGTAACAAGGAAAAGCTTCTTTTGGAGGGCAAGAGCTCACCTTTTATCAGGTTTGTGCACGGCCTTTTGGCAACAGCAGTGGTTCGACTGAAGCTGACATCTGCAAGAGGGGAAAATAATCAAGGCAAAGTCCAAAAGTGATTAAATGTAAAGAGAGAGATCTCCCATCCCTTCAGCAGTAGAGGGTCATAAATTTCATTCATATGGACTTTACATGCTTTACAAGCTTTAAGTGTCCTTCTAGTCATTGCCCTGTACTGAAGCTAGTAGTCAATGTCAGCAGCAAAAAAATAAAAATAAAAATCTACATTTATTGACATTAGATAACCTTTTCAATCCCCGGTAGAACAAATTTATTAAACCGGCCTGACTAATGCTAAGAAATTTCAAATTATGTATCTACACTTACCTGACACTTTTTTTAGCCATACATGTCCAACTGCTCATAAACATCATTATCAATTCAACCAATCACATGGTAGCCCTTCAATGCATTTAGGCATGCAGACATGGTCAAATGACCTGCTGAAGTCATGAGAATGAGTAAGAAATGTGATTTAAAGGATTTCAGAAATGTCTGGTCTCCTGGGATTTTCCCACACAACCATGTCTAGGGTTTTACAGAAAATTTTCTGAAAGACAGAAAATACCAGTGAACAACAGAGCAGCAGCGGTCGAAAATCCCTGTTTGACCCCAGTGGTCACAGGAGAAAGACCAGACTGCTTCAAACAGGAAGGAAACAGAACCTCAACTTCATCTGTAGCAACTGTATGATGCTTTCACATCAATACAGACCATAAATCTATGATGAATGTTTCCAGAACCTTATTGAATCTATATCTAAGAAATCCCTAACTGTGAGGAAATTAAGCCTCGTCATTATATAATTTGTCCACTAGGCAGCACATACAAGGTCCCGCTTACTATCAGTACTTTGTCTCGGTGAGCTCAGCAAACAAAATTATGAAAAGAAACAACCACAAAAAACTACTCATATTTAACACGGTCTTTTAACGGGACAGACTTGACTTCAGTCTCATTTTCGTACCTGAACCTCCCACTGGATCATTAGCCAGGACTCCCTCGGACACCACAGAGCCGCAGTCCACACACACCAGCTGAGCCTGAGAGTACAGGTCATCGTCTACAATGTTTGTGGAACCGCAGGCCGGACAGCGCATACCAGCAGCAGCCATTATCCTCAGTGAAGCTGCTGCCTGAGGGACAGCTAAAGGTATGAAACGGGTACTAAACTGATAGGAACACCTGCAACACACACACACACAACATCCTGTTACTAACCTGGAACTGTCAACAACCAATGAACGTCGCTTAAGCGACCGGTCGCGAGAAAGGAGCCCAATAATATGTGTCCGGATAGAAACAAGGTTCGGATTCTACAAGGTTCCGCTCGGCCAATTCGTCATTTTTGTAAGCGATTAAAAAAAAATAAATCACAAGGCCGACCCTCGGGGGTCAGTTATTCATAACAAAAACACTGTTGAAACCAATGATGGTTGAAACACAAACAACGGGTTTTACGACCCCGACAATTTTCTTCTGAGTTGGATAAGTGCTAATAAAAGGCAACCCCAAAAAACCCAAAAACAAAAAAACCAAAAAAAACAACGTTAAAAACTAACCAAAAAAAAGCCTTAAAAAAGGAAAAAAAAAAAAATTAAATGCTGTTACTAACAGACCATCCTACGGGTGCATCGTGGCCTCTGTCTATAAACCACTCAAGCAGTAGTTTCAGTTTCAGTTAAGCTTAACTGCAGGGATTTCTTCAGCTATTTCAGTATCCCCGAATTAGCTTGATAACATTCTTATATGTAGGTAACGTTTTCTATTTATGATTTAATCTTTTTTGTCAATATTTGAAATTAAATTTGACTGAATGTCAGCTCCCTGTCAGGGTTTCTGGGTCGTTGACCCAGTATTTTCAGTTCACGTTCACCATTTATCTACTGCCTGTTTCACTTCCTGTTTGTTCCCCGTGTCAGCTTGTGTCATTAGTCAGATTATGTTCAGCCCTGTACTCACCTGTTTCCAATCATTGTCATCATTCAACCTGTGTATGTAAGTTCCTCGGTTTCACCAGTTCTTTGTCGTGTCATTGATGTTATGTTGTCGTTTCCGCCTTCGTTCAGTCAGCCAGCCATTCTAACTATCCACGAGTCCTGCGTTTGGGTCACTTCCTCGCCTCCACTCAGCAACCCCTGACACTCCCAAGACATTTAAAATAATTAAATGACATCATGAGGGGCACGAATTTCTGTGGAACGGAATTGTGACTACCTGTTTTTCAGTATGCATTCATATATGTCTCAGGATTGTTTGTGTTGAATTTCAAACTGTAGCTTCGTACATTTGCTCATCTTTTGTATTGCAAAATTTGTTTACCAGAAAAAAAATTATTTATCTTGATAAGAGCCTAGCTTCCCCTGCCATCTTCTTTAAGGTCTGATGTAAGATGTAGACATTTGGTAGAGATAAAGAACAAGGCACATGTCCAAAGGGTTGCCAGCTGAATGGAAGCTCTGATCAGAATAACAAAGAGTGTTAAGAGTACAAACAGAGATTATCATCAGGAATCTGAATTTTGTATAACCCCTTTTAATCAAGGTAATAATAATAATAATAATAATAATAATAATAACAGACAGTAATAGATTTAATTTAAGTACACATGCACTTTTACATGTACATCTGATGGTATCATCAGATGCAATTCTATCAGTGCAAAGGTAAAAAAGGCTTAGAATGTGTCCATAAATATCTGTATAAAAAGTTTATAAATGAGCAACCTCTATACTTGCTACCTCTCTACTCAACTTAAAAGGAAGATAAAACACGCATCATACTTCACACATCACACAAGACATTTTGCATTCTCCAGGCATTCATTGCATAGCTCTCTGTCTTCACAAAATTGCAGAGTTCCAGCAGCATTTTGTGCTGTTAAAGCGTTTGCATAAAAGCTATTTTTAAATCTTTTTGTCCTTGTTTTTAATGTCCTGAAACATCTGCTCGAGAGCAGCAGTTCAAACAGAAAGTGTCCGAGGTGGGATGGATGTTTCCGGATGCTCTTTCCTTCTATGAGGTACCGGGAACTGTAAAGCTCTTCCAGGGAGGAGAGAGGTGATCTTCTGTGATCGCCCTCTGAAAGCACTTTTCTCTCTGCTACTGTGCAGCTGGGAAACCACTCTCTACTCTACTGAGCAGTGATAGGAGGACATAAGCAGATTTTTAAGTGAGGCAAAGTCTCTGCTTTGCCTTCTTCCAGGTCAGCTCCTCTTCAGCTTGGATGCCCAGGAATCAGTCCAATAATTTCTCCACACATAAAATGAAAATGGTCTGAATATCCATTTTCTACCTCTTGTAGTAAATAATCAACACCTTGGTCTTGGTGGTGTTAAGGATCAGGTTGTTATCACTACGACAACCAGATAAATACTCCACCTCCACCTGATAAGCAGACTCATCACTCCCTTAGATGAGGCCCACTAAAGTGGTGTCATCTGGAAATTTAATGAGGTTGTTGCTGGAATGGGTGGGGGTGCAGTTGTGAGTATAGAGGATGAAGAGTAGGGACTCAGCACACATCCCTGTGGAGAGCCGGTGCTGAGACTGAGGGCTGAGAACTTGTAGCAGCTTACTCTCACCTTTTGGGAGTCAAAAAGACAGAAAGTCAGACCAGAAGTGACTGGACAGTCTGTCAGTTTTGTCACCAGTTTGTGAGGGAGGTTGAAATCTACAAAGAGCAGCCTCGTGTAGCTCAGGACAACAATAAGGAGTGTTGTGGTTATGGTGTCCTCTGTAGGCCTGGTAGCTCTGTAAACCTCATTCCTCAGCATGGACCAGAAATTCAAAATGGTGTGAGAGAGTTGAGTAATAAATGAAAAGTAAAGTCATGAAATGAGTAAGGGATTCTGATGATGTTGCAAGACTAAAAAGACTGAGGAAGAAAGAAATGTTAGAGAGGGCATTTAGGCTACTCATCACAGCAGGATAAACTAGTTACCCAAGCACGACTCACAGCATCAAATCGGAATGACTTGAGGGCAACATGGAGAATGGAGCAGTAATAAATAACAGAAAATGTCAGTGCAGAGAGAAGTTCCAGTAAAAGAAAAGGCATCAAAGAAAAAAAAAGAATGATGGAGAAGAAAAGCAACCCCAAAAAGCCATGAAAAAGTGGACTTCAAGTAGTGTGAGCATTCACGAAGAAGACTCACAAAAGAATCAGGAGGCCAAATGCATCATCACAGACGTCATCACAATCAAAATGAAGACTCACACAAGATGAACAACAGAGGATGCCATTACAGGCTGGAATGAACACAAAAAGACAGGAACAAAAAAACAATACCAAAAATTACCAGTGGTTATAAAAGTAGTTCAAAAGAAAAATCCCTGTTTCACTCTTTTCTTCAAGAGCCAACATATTATAATATCTCAGTTAGATCCATCCATGCAGTGCAAAATATGTGCGTTTGAAAGGCAAATATGGCCAGCGAAAGACACTGAGGTCAATACATTTGTGCTACAATAAAGAAAAAATTAAGACCAGACTAGAACTCTACATAAAGTAGGGAGGTAACCTTTCTATAGTAAACCTAAAGAGACCAGCCCTCCTTGAAATTATTTCAGGAATCAGTCCAACTCTAATCTGAATAAAAAAGTGATGCAACTAAGCTTGTTGGCCCATACTGGGAAAACAATAAGCATAGTTGTGCAGCACATGAGAAAGAAGACCAAAATAAAAAAAAAAAACAAAAAAAAACATATCTACAGCAGATAATGCACATAATGTTTCCTCTGAGAGTGTAAAAGCTCATTTGACAAATGCATCTGTTTAAAATGTGCGGTCTTCCCAGTCTGTAAAATGCTAACAAATGCAAAGCGCCACTCTACACAAATCTACACTAGGATAACAGCTGGTCACCACTATATAATGCAAATAAGAGAAATCACTGTCAGCTACTTAGAAAGGGAAGGATAAAAGGATATCAGAATGTGTTACACGCACACAAAAACTCAAAGACACACTGCCGATTGCTGAATTTCCTGAATGAGAGAACAAGTGAAGCAGTATCAGAAGCATGCAGGAGTCCTAAACAATCAAGCACACTGTAGGGGCTGTAGAGACTGGGGGCAGGTATAATGGAGTCATGCAGGTGTCCAGAGCAGGGAAATGGACTAAAACAGGCTTGGTACTCTAAGACTGGAACCAGAGCCAGCAAGGCTGCAGGGCAATGAGGTAAGCAAATAATTCCCAGAAATAATCTTACAGGTTGCAAAACTCAGTGACTACTTCACCTAAAATTGTCTACTCACTCAGACACTTTGTTAATATGGAAACCCAACACCAACAATGTCCTGGTTTAACTCAAGGCAGTATAGAAGAAAAACAATCTAAGATTCCCAACATGAAAGAGACAGAAAAAGGTAGATACTGAAGAAAGAAGAAATACTGACACAAATGTTGGCTGGACTCCTTTCACATTTATGTAATTATGGAAGGTTTTGAGAGAGTTACAGGGAGAGTTGGGAGTAAATAATATAGACACTTACGTACAGACTACTGATCAGGAGTTTTGATAACCTTTTGCTATTAGGTGTCATTTTTCCCATTTTGAGGGAATTTGGTAAGATATATGACTGATGGTCCATGCAAGCCGTGGGAGGGACGCCATTTTCTGTGTAGATTGAAACTGTGGACCCACCCACCCATCCATCCATCGTGGGAGCAGCAGCCTAAACAGAGAGGCCCAGACCTCCCTCCCCAGCTATATTCTCCAAATTATCTGGTGGAACACTGCGGCGTTCCCAGGCCAGCCAAGAGATATAATCTCTCCAGCACATCCCGAGTCTACCCTGGGGTCTCTTCTCAGTCACTCATTCCTGGAACACCTCATCCAGGAGCCACCTTTGTAAGATGCCCGAACCACCCCAACCTTTTGAT